ACATCCCGGTGCAGTTGACATCCTGCGCACACTGTCACTGCACACCCCGGTGCAGTTGACATCCTGCGCACACTGTCACTGCACATCCTGGTGCAGTTGACATCCTGCGCACACTGTCACTGTACATCCTGGTGCAGTGACAGGACATTAAGAAGGGCTCCTGTGCTGTGCCACTGAAGTGGCACAGACTGCTCAGCCACCCTCCTCTCTACTCCTGGAAGGACGGGTTCTTCTGGAGCCATACTGGAGAACATCCCCAAAGTCCTTGCCAGCCTCAGTGGTTCTATTAGCTGCATTTCTCATCGTCTCTCACCGAAACACACTTCAGTCTATTTGTTTTTGGTTCTTCCTACCTGGGACCCATTTCAAGGAAACATTTGCAGGGGCAACAAATAAGAATTAATGGCTGAGGGAGGCCAGGCTTAGCTACAGGAGATCTTGTCTCCAAACAATAACAAAACACACCAAGAGGCACAGACTGGGAAAGGATGTATGGGCCACCAGGAGAGGCCTTTCCTACTAGGTGCCAGATTCCCTGGGGTCAGAACATGGTAAGGAAAGTTGGCCTAGTAATACCAGCACCCTCTCCCATGGCCAGATGTGCACCTTCTGGACTCCACCTGAGGAAGCTGAGAGGGTTAGTGAGACTCAATCATGTTGCATTCTGTTTGCCTGATCACATCAGACACTTTTCCTATCTAAAATGGTTTATGTTGTTAAGGAAACATTTCTTTATTATATGTAAATGAGTTAGCTTTCAACTTGCCATGTATCTTAGTCATTGTTCTATGGCTGTGAAGAGACACCATGACCACACAACTCTTATAAATGAAAGCACTTAATCGGGGTTTTCTTACAGTTTCAGAGGTTTGGTCCATTGTCATCATGGTGGCATGCAGGCAGACATGGTGCTGGAGAAATAGTTGAGAGTTCTACATCTGGCTCCACAGGCAGCAGGAAGAGAGAGACACTGGGCATGGAATGAGCACTTGAAACCCTAAAGCCCACCCTCAGTGACACACTTGCTCCTACAAGGCCACATCTCCTCCAACAAGGCCACACCTCCTAATCCCTGTCAAGTAGTGCCACTCCTGGTCTTATGGCTTCTTTGTTGCCCTGGCCGTATTTTCAAAGTTCACAGCAGGAAGCAGAAAAGTATTCTAAGGACTACATTGTATGTGGGGGTTTTAAAGGCATTACAAATCCCGGCTCAAAACCCCAAACAACAACAACAACAAGAAGTGACCACTTTTGTAACAGACTGGAGTGTCCTGTGTTGTTCCATGTCCCCTACCCAGGCCCCGTTTCCCCCGCCCCAGTACCTTAGAATGTAACTGTATTTGCAGACAGGATTATGACAAGGTAACTAAGTTAGAGTGAGGTCATTAGGATAGGCCCTACTGGCCTGACAGGCATCCTTATAAGAGGAGATATATGTGAAGAACAATTAGCTGAGGTTGACCTCCAGCCTCCACATAAATGCACATACATGCATACACACACATGCATGCACACACATAAGAATGATAGCAAGGATCGGCTCATACCTCACACTACACAGTGATGCAAACAAAACCAAGCCTCAGGGTCACTGTCAAAGGTGGTGAGGGTCTCAACCCATTCTGACAACTGACAGGTGGGAGGACGGAGCCAACATCGAGTCGGGCTCTTCCATATGAACCAAGTTCTTTTTAAACACACAAAGAAGGAAAAGAGGGTGACAGACAGTCACGTGTGGCTCCTCCGAGACAGCCCGCAAAGCATGATGGGGAACATTGTGAGGCCAGTCAGGCCCATAGCATGAGCGCTCACTAATCCATCTTGCAGAGAGGGAGGCTTCAGGCCTGGCATGATGCACCTTACAGAACGGTGCTGAACCAGAATTGAGCAACTCTCTATCTTTATTTGCCCGGAAATACCAGAGTCATGAGAGCTTATGAAGTGGCAGAGTTCTCCAAGTCCAGGCCCAGGATGTGCAGCCATCAACACAGTTTCCTTGTCAAATGAATGCAACAACAACAACAACAACAATGACAACAACAACAACAACAACAACAACAACAAAAACCCAGCAGAGAAGGAATGCTCAGCTCAAAAGGGATAGGTTGAATAGTAACCCGGAGTAATGCCTGGATCAGCACTGGATAGAACACTTCTGAGACCAATGAGGAACAGAACCAACAGTGTGTGTGTGTGTGTGTGTGTGTGTGTGTGTGTGTGTGTGTGTGTAACATATATTTATATATATTCATTTAGCTTATATAGTCTACACACATATTAAAGGGGGATTGAGTAGAGTGGCTGGCAGGAAGTATGGAGTATAGCCACTGCAATGTTTTAAATAGGAGGGAACTACCCCAGGTGACATCTGCCACTTGAGAAACTCAGCTGAGAGCACTATTCTGAAGCTATTTCTTCCAGCTTGAAACATCCTCTCCCAGGGAAGGAGGGCAGGATGCTCAAAAGGCATAAGGAAATACACAAGGCATAGGAAGTAAACAAAAGGAAAACTCCCAGCTCTCGGCTGGTTGCTGAGGTTATTTGGAAGCTACTCAGCCGCAGCTGAGAGAGCGGCCTGCTAGTCACCCAGGGAGCCCTGGGGAAGCAGCTCTCAGGAGTACCATCGTGCTGGGTGGGTTTCCCAGTGATGCAGGCTTTGAGTCAGCCACGTTCCTGTAAGTAACCCCAGTAAACTCATGGGTTTACTAACGTTTAGGTGGAATCCGTTCTTTGCTCTCTTGATGGCGCCCCATTAGGGGTGACCAGATACTTGTCCAGGTCTTCCAAGGAAAAGCCACACAACTACAAAAAGGGGAAAGGAAAGAAGGAGGGAAGAAAGGAGGGGAAGGAGGGAGGGCGGCGTTTCTGAAGCATACCCCAAAGCACGCTGCCTATGGCATGCTGTACTTACTAGACAGGGCATGCTCTCCAGCACACTCAAGATCTCCGGGTCACTCAGCATGTTGTGGGAGAGGTCGAGGACACAGAGCCGCAGACACTCCCTGAGGTGCTGAATGTCTGCCACGGTCTCCAGGCGGTTGTGGGCCATTTGCAGCGTGTTCAGGACAGGGAGGCAGGCTGGAGGGGAGGCGGTACAAAATGAGCAACAGCAGCATGTGCTCCCGGCCCACACTCTGGAATCTCCGCCGGGATGTGGTACAGAGCAGGGCCGCCGAGCTTACAGAGGTTCTCAATGGTCTTGATGTAGTTGTTGCTCAGGTTGAGGGCGTCCAGCTTCTGGAGTGGCTCCAGGTTCTCAATCTTGTGCAACAGGTTCACTTGCAGGAAGAGGCAGCGCAGCTCGCTCTGGGCCTGCAGATTCTCGATCCTCTGGATGCCATTGCACTCCAGCCAGAGGCAGCGGAGGCCTGTATACTCTTCCAGGTTCTCGATGCGGTCAAACCCTGGTGGGGAGGGGCTGGTGAGGACCCTGTGCGCTCAGAGGGGAGAGGCCTGGACGCTGTTGGTTTCGCCTAGTGGCAGAGGCTGCCACTTGGGGTCTCTGCAAATTCTGATATAGAAGACCATTACCTCCAGGGTGAGGGTGTTGGAAGGGGCCTTTGGGAGCTGAGGAGTTCCTGAGGGTGGGGCACACATGATGGGATCAGTGCCCTTTTAGAGAGAGACTGCTTGGCATGGTGGCACAACAGTGACCCCAGCTCCCTGGAGGCTACAGCAGGAGGATCACAAGTTCAAGGCTACTTTGGGCTACAGACTGAGGTCACAGATGGAGACTTCCATCTGTGAACTTGGAAGCAGGCATTGGATCTGCCTGCACCTTGGTCTTGCACTTGAGAGATTAAGACACCCACATCTCTTTCCTCTTTTTCTTTCTTTTTTTAAAAAAAGATGGGTTTTTTTTTTTTTGCTTTTTTTTCCCCGAGACTAGGCCATTCTAGGTAGCACTGGATATTCTGAAACTTGCTCTATAGTCTACACTGTCCTGGAACTCAGAGATCTGCCTGCCTCTGCCTCCTGAGTGCTGGGACTAAAGTCGTGCGCAGCTAGTAACGGCTTTTCTTTGCAAAGCCATCCCCTTGTTTTGATTGAACCCAAGGCCTCACACCTGGACAGTGAGTCCTCTAGTGCTGGGCCACACCCAAGCCTTCTGGGGTCCCTGCTGAGCTAGTCTCTGTGTGTCTGTGTGTCTCTTTCCTGCACTCTGGCCCACCCTCCAACTCTTGTCCCATGGCTCCACCGTCCCTAGGGAAAGCCCCTTTGTCCCCCAGCTCCTCCAGCAGCAGTCTGTACGTCAGGCTGGAGTCCCTAGTGACAGCCTCATTGCTCAGTCAGTCCCAGTGTTGGTCTTCCTGCTTGACCTCTCCAAGGCTTCTGACCCATTTTCTCATTACCACATGGCAGGCCCCCACCCCAGCTTATCACAGCCTTTGTGTTGATACATCAAGAAGAGGGTGGCCCTGAGATGACAGGTAAGGCAGAAGCGTGGCATGTGTCATTTCTGGAACTGGGACCCCTATTCCCATATTGTTCTTTCTCTTGGCAGCTTGCTCTATGTGGAGCTGGCAGCCACTGAGAGGCTTCCATGGTGGGGGACTGCGCCATTCTCCAGCGCCAGCCCAGTGTTCAGGTAATTGAGGGCACTTGGCAACTCCTCAAGAGGGACCCTGAGCCAGAGCCACCTAGCTAATCACACACAGATCTTCAGAACCTGTGTGAGATAACGGATTTGAAGTTGCTAAGTTTCAGGGTGATTTATTAGCTAGTGACATATGACAAAGGCAGGCACCTCTCTACTAACTCCGAATCCACTTAGCCTAACACACTGACTCCTATGCCTCCCTCCTCCATAGTCTCTGTCCCCCCCATCCCTGTGAGAACACCTCCCCCATTGTTCTAACTGCTGCTTATGCTCAGATGCCAGGTGGAGAATTTCAAAGGGGCAGAAGGGTGGAGACCGGTGGGAAGTCCTTCTAAACCCTGAGGCCTGTGTGCTGCTGGGCCGGTGTCCCTCCCTGCATAACGCCCTCCTCCCCATGGCTGCCCACCCATGCCCGCCCCACCCAACAGGACCCCTAGTCCATCCTTGCCACATCCACCTCTGGATTCCTGGCACTGAGAAAGTCCCATGCATGGAAGGCTCTCAGGAAAGATTTCCTGAATAATACACAAGCAAATAGATGAGCGATAAGCAGGTCAGCCACCTCACACTGGGCCCCAACTAGAGCTGGGGATCCTGGTCATCACTGGTCAGGATGGTCCTGGCCATGAACCTGAGCTCAGATGCAGATGTGGGGCTGGACACCAAGCCCAAGTCCCTAGGATGCCACAGGTCCCCTGCATTCTGAGAGGACGAAAGACCCTCCTAATCTTTCTTCCTTCACAATATACCCGTCCAAAGCCCAAGGTTCACAACTGCCCCACTGCTTTAAAAATTGCCCAGTCTCTGAGCCAGCTATGCTGACTGGAGCCTCAACTGCCAGCACTCAGCAGACTGAGGCAGGAAGGCCACAAGTTCAAGGCTAGCATGACTATATAAAAAGATCCTATCTTCAGTGTATGTATATGTATGTGGGGGGGGGGGTTGAGAGATACTGAGACTAAATTAATTAGTTATGTGCCTGGTGGTACAGGCCTGTAATCCCTGCTACTTGGTTGAGTGAGGCAGGAAGATGAGAAGTTCAAGATCCTTCTGGGCTACAAAGTGAGTTCAAGGGCAGCCCGGGCAATTTGGTGAGCCTTGTTTCAAAACAAGAAGGGAAAGGAGGCTAGCTCGGGCTGTGTCTCAGTGGCGGTGTACTAGCCTAGCCTGTGGGAGGTCCTGCTTCCATCCCTTATATTGCAAGGGGGAAAAAGAATCAAGCAACCAAAGAAACAAGGGCCATGCGGTGGTGGCGCACACCTTTAATCCCAGAATTTGGGAGGCAGAGGCAGGCAGATCTCTGTGAGTTCAAGACCTGGTCTACAGAGCGAGTTCCAGGACAGCTAGGACTACACAGAGAAACCCTGTCTCCAAAAATCAGAAGAGGAAGAAGGAGAAGGAGGAGAAGAGGAAGAGGACGCAGCAGCAGCAAGGGTGGCTCCTTTGGACCCACACAGCCCCTTTATGAATTCATTCAAGGCAGAGTTCCACTTAAATAGCTTCCGAGGGCTGGAGAGATGGCTGAGGTTAAGAACACTGACTGCTCTTCCAGAGGTCCTGAGTTCAATTCCCAGCAACCACACGGTGGCTCACAACGACCTGTAATGAGATCTGGTGCCCTCTTCTGGCCTGCAGGCATACATGCAGACAGAACACTGTATACATAATAAATCTTTAAAATAAATAAATAAATAAATAAATAAATAAATAAATAAATAAATAAATAAATAAATAAATAAATAAATAAATAGCACCGAGCACCAAGATGCGCTCTGCAGCTTGTTTCCTGCTTTGTCTCCTGACACTGCTCCTGGACTCCCCTGGGACTCACCCTTAAAGTGTAAATACAGCGTGTCATTCAGGGCAGGGGTGATGTAGAGCTTGTGTTGCTTGCAGAGCTTTTGAAGGAATTCTTTAGTCATCCTGTTAAAATGCAAAACACAAACAAGAGGCTCCTTTCAGCCTGTCAGTGGGCAAACATATTGTAAGGCTTGTATTTGGTTTGCATTGGTTTGGAGATAGGGTCTCACTCTGTAGCCCAGGTCAGCTGGGACCCCACTAGGCAATCCAGGCTGGTCTCAAACTTGTGGACCTCCTGCCTCAGCCCTGCTGGGAATGCCGATGGGAGCCATGGCACCAGTTCAGGTTCTTTCCTCCATCCATTCTGTCTGAAGTCCTAAATTTGAAGCCTCTTGTTATATCTTCATCCTCCTCCCCTTTCCTTCGGTATGTTTGTGTGTATGTGTTCTTGCGTGTTCACGTGTGTGCAAGGTCGAACGTCAGATGTCCTCTCTATCACATCTGCCATGGTTTTTGAGAGAGTCTCTCACTGAACCTGCTGATTTGGGTAGAATGGCTGGCCAGTGAGCCCCAGGACTCCTCTGTCTCAGCCTCCCCAGTTCTGGGATTACAGATGTCCAGAGATGCCTGGGTGTGTGCACAGGAACTGGGATTGCATGGGATTAGAACTGGGGGTTCTAATTTATGTGCTCATCTGAGCCATCTCAGCAGCATCTCCCCATTTATTTATTTATTTATAGTTCTTAGAGCTATATTCTTTACCCAATATTGTTATCTCAGTGTTCTAAAAATTCGCAGCGTTTGGCCTAATAAAAATACTTCTAGTAGTGTCATCAACAAAACTGGTGTGAACCAGGCATGGTGTGAACATTTGTAATGCCAGCACTCAGGAGGAGGCTGAGGCAAGAGATTCATGAGGTTGAGAGCCAGCCTGGGCAATAGAGTGAGACCTTGTCTTAATGCAGGGCCTGGGGGGTGAGGGGTGGGGATGACAAGATGGTTCAGTGGGTAGAACCAAAGCCTGAAGACCTGAGTTTGATCCCTGGAATCCTCAGTGGAAGGAGAGAATGAACTTCTGCAAGTTGTCTTTTGACCTCCATATATGTGCCAGGGTATATGGCTGTATACATTTGTTTCCATATTCTTCCTCCTACACTAGTAATAAACTTTTTTTTTTCCAAAAAAAAAAAAAAAAAAAAAAAAAAAGAACTCGGGGCTGGAGACATGGTAAGATAGCTCTGCAATTAAGAGCGTTTGCAGAAGATACAGGACAAGTTCCCAGTACACTTCAGGCAGCTCATAACCTCCCATAATTCCAGCTCTAGGGAACCCAGCACCTTCTTTTGGCCTCCATGGCTACCTACACACACATAAATATACACAAGTAACACCCCCCTTCCTTAAAAAGCTACTGCTATTCTTATCCTGTTCTGTTAATAACTGGGCAGGTTCCTCAGCTGTTGTCTGAGCAAGGGACTAAAGGGCTATCACTGTGCACTCCTTGGTAGCTTGGTACTACCAAGCTGCACAACACAAACCTGGGGCCCCGATCATCCCTGTCATTTCTTGCATAGCCTGAGCGACAATCTAACCTACTGTCGCCGCTCTGTTGCTTCTGACTTTGGCTGGATGTTGTAGAAGGACCCACACATGTTTCCTTGGTCTCATTAATTTCTGTAAAATAAAAGAAGAATCAACTTGTAAAGATAAAAAAAAATTAGGATGGGTATGGGCAATCTCAGCCTGTGGTCCCAGCACCCAGGAGGCTGAGGAAGGAGACTCTCCATTAGGTTTTGGATTTGGCCAGCCTAAGCTTCAAAACAAAAGAAAAAACAATCCTAGGCTGTCGTGGTTTTGATTTATATAAATGGCATCCTGTGCTTTTTGTGGAGCTTGTTTTTTTATACCCATATGTGTTCCTAAGAATGATCCCTACTGATGGATAAAGCTGTCAGTGTGTTCTTTTCAAGGCAGAAGAATTCACTGCTCTCTACAAGCACTCCCTTAAAGACATTTGCATTGCTAACGGTATCTGATGCCCTCTTCTGGCCTCCTTGGGCACCTGCACATCTCTTCCCCGCCACACACACTAAAATAAACTTTTTTTTTTTTTTTTTAAAGGGGGAGGACACAGTGAAAAAAATAATTTAAAAGGACAAACTGGTGTCATGGATTATTTACCAGTAAGTTTTCTTGAAGAATATCATGTTACACACAAGTAAAATTTAGCCAGAGAGTCACTGCCTCAGACCTAACTTTAGGACTGCTGGGATACAGATTCAAACCACGATATTTATGCACTTCTGGGTTCAAACTCAGATTATCAGATTACCCTGTAAGGCACCTCAAATGCATGTAAGTAACCTCAAGAGCTGATGAGCTCTCTCTGTGAGGGATCTGCTGGACGACACTGAACACTGTTTGGGGACTGAGTCTTACATTCATTGCAAACAATTCCCAGCCACAGGCGGTACCTGATAAACATTCATTGGAATAAATAACTTGCGTTCCATATGTGCTGGATTGATTATATTAATAAAAGTACAGCATTCATTAATAGTTAATGCGAAGGCATGCATGTGGGATGCTGGCTGATCCATGGCTGTATGGACAGGCATTTGTGAGGGGTGCTGGTTGCTCCCAGCTGCGTGAATGGGCATGTGTGAGGCACACGGGCCCTCGCCCCCTCGGCTCCCCGACGCGATGGCACCTTCTTTGCGGACCCCGGGGCCCGCGCCGCCGTGATCGCCCGCCGACTCCTCCAGACTGGGTTCCGTCGCTCCATCCGCCTGCTGCTCTGAGGTTGAGGCCTCGGGGTGCATGCTCACTCCTCGTCCCGCCACTCAGCTCCGGCACTAAGGTTGGCTAACTAAGTCGTTGGCTGTCCAACGCTTCCCTGGTCGTCGCGGTAACCAGTGCACACGCGCAGTCGGTTACGCCGCGGAGGGCGGGCCTAGTGGGGAGCTCCACCCGGGCGCGTGCGCAGATCACGTGGGTAGCGGACCTGCGACGGAGTCCGGGGCGGCGGCTGCGCGGACTGGCGGCGGGACGGGCTTCGGAGACCGCGCCGCTTGCTGCAGGTATCGCGCCCGCTCCTCTCGCGCCCCGCTTCCGGCCCTGGCCACGCCCCCGGGGACCCCGACCCTCGGGGTCGTCCCCACCCCACCCCCCTGCCGCGCCCCGTAGCTGCGAACTCTTGGTTCCGCGCTCCCGGCGGTCCCTCAGCAGCCCGTGCAGGTGTCCCGGGCCTCATCTTCGCCCCACGGCTCGCACACGCGACACGCCCCGGGACCGCCCTTTTTTCGGTGCCTCTTTATCCTTCTTTCCCCGCTGCTGGGTCTGAATGGGTTCTAGGATTCAGAACTGATGCAGAATGGCAGCGCTGCTGAAGAAAGCGCGCAGATCCTGCAGAGCCGGGTGGGTTCTGCAGAGTCTCTGGGCGGCGCCCGGCGTCGCAGGGGAGGGATGGGGAAACGAGGTGGAGAGTCCTTGTTCTACCACCGGGACTCAGCCGCACCCCTGGGCGGTGACCGCAGGGTATAAAGGTTACCTCGGGCGGGTGGGGAGGGGGCGGGCTCTCATGGACCACCAGCCAGGGCGCTGAGCCGTGCCTTAGTCTCAGGTCTTAGCTGTGACATCCCGGGATGTGACTCTGCGTCCTTTTCCTCGTGAGATTGAAGGAAGGAGTTAAGTGAAGCCATAGGGATAACGCGCTTAGAAGCTTTTTCTTCAAGTCGGGTCAGTACAAAAAGCGGGAGCTAACATCGAACCCTGAGTAATAATCCTGGCTAGTGGCTAAGGTTTATTGAGCGGTTGCAAAGTCAGTGCTTCTTAGGTATCACCTCAGCTAATTCTCATTGTAGCCGGGAAGTGTTAGCCCCTTTTCCATGTGGTGGGGAAAGGACAGTGTGTTGTAGTGTAACTTAGTCCCCAAGAACAGGATCTCTTTTTTTCAGAGTGACAAGATATTTCGGGAATATTTCAGAAGTGCAGAGTTCAACACTACTTTATTAGTGGAGTGTGTGTTGTGTGTGTGTGTGTGGGGGGTGTTGCTCATGTGTGAGTGTGAAAGCCACAGGTCAGTGTCTGTTGGGCTCCACCTTATTTTTTGAGAAAATGTCTTTCACTGAACCCAGTGTTTCCTTTAGGCTAGACGGACTGGTCCCCATGATCCTCGATTGCTTTTTCCCTCCCAGTACTGGGGTTACAAATTGGCTCCACTGTTTTCCACTCTTACATACTACTGGGATCTCAACTCAGCCTTGCACAGCAAACATTTAATCTGCAGAGCCATCTTCCCAGTTCCCAGTGGATTTTTTTTTCTTTGAGGCAAAATTCATCATTTTAGCTATTTTGAAAGGTGCAACTTAGCACTTTGTAGTACATTTACAGTGCTGGTCAGTTCCAGGTAATTCCCACCACCCCCAAAGAAATTCCACCCCATCAGCTGCATTTTGGGCCCCACCTTGCCCCCGTCAGTGCTCCTAATCAGATTTCCCTATTGCAAACATGTTTTATACATGTATTGTGTCTAGCTTCTGTCCCTCAGCCTCATGTTCTCATGCCACAGCATGTATTCATGCCCCATTCCTTCTTAGAGCTCAGTAATATCCCATTGTATTATGTTTGGGTTACATTGTGGTCATCAATTGGTGGACATTTTGGTAGTTTCATCTTTTGGCTAGTGAGTAAGGCTGACAGGAACCTGCTTTACAAATGTTTAGTGCAAGCAAAAAGTTTCAGTTATTTTGGATGAGTGCCTAGGCGTGGGCTGCTGTTGCCTGTATTCCTGGTGCCTAAGTAGAGACCTGGATCTCAGGGGTGTTGGATCTTGGGTAAGAGTCCTGGGTTCTGGTTCCCATGTTGCTGTTCTTTCCCCTCAACCTTACTGCTGGTTCAGTCACTGATGAAAAATAGGCAGAAGAAGGGAAGGAACTCCCCAAATCTCACTGACCTGTAAGAGAATTTGTCAGAATGCTGATACAAAGTTTTGGGTTTTTTTCTCTTCAAGCGTGAAACTTGAGCTCTGGCCCAAACGGTATCTAATGGGATTTACTAAGGCAATGTTGTATTTGCCAAGCAATCTTGTATACACAGCATTTTGGCACCGTGGAGCCCTACAGAGGATGCATGAAAACTGGTTGCCACCATTACAGAAGCCAGGGTTGCAGACTTAAATCAGAAGAACTTCTAGAAAATACTGTGAGGAAATTCCTGCCAGGGGATGCAGTGTGAAGTAAAATGTGATGAGCACTGCTCGGAAAGGAAGGGATTTGGAAACGAAGACATCCAGCTTATCAACAAGGCTAGCAAGAAATATCAGCGAGAGCATGTGTCTAGAGTCTGTCAGGAATTCTTGTCATCCTGAGAGAGAAAGAAGGCAATATAATAGGAAAAGGGGCAAACGATGGGAAGGGGCATTTCAGAGATTCAGAGCAGCGTCACACATGGTTCAGAAGTCCTGGCCCCATTACTAACCACTCCTACACACCCTGTTGTTTGAGGGTGAACTCTTGGGCGTTCCTGCAGGTGGCACAGAGGAGGTAGTGTGCACCCCCACCTGTGAGGCAGGTGAGTCAGGCCCGCACTGTGGAAAGGATCGGCGAGGTAGAGTGGAACCCTCGAGTGCCTGTGGCCCAGCAGTTCCGCTGTGGAGCATGCCCCTTCGTGAATGCCTGCACCAGTGCCCAAGAGACGTTATGAAGAATTTGAGTGGTGGCCCTGGGCTGGTGGTAGCATGGGCAGGACTTGTATGTGGGAGTGTCATGACCTACAGGAAAGCTGTGACCTCAGCGGGTAGAGGAGTCTCCGGAAGAGGAGGATGCAGGTCAGCTCAGGACATGGGGGAACTCCTCAGAAGCCACTCAGACAGGCAGTACTCAGCGGCGTTGTGAAGTGTTGTGAACAGACAGAGCTCTTTACAGAAAGAGCCAGAGTAGCAGGTTTGGGGTACATGCTGTGATGCCAGCATTCAAGATGCTGAGATAAGATCAATGGCAGCCTGTGCCTCAAAAAAAAAAAAATAAACAAACCCCAGCTTTCAGGAGGGTGTCCCCTTCAATGTAGAAGAGGGAACAAGGAGAAAGCCTGGGTGTCCTAGAACTTATTGGATGCTGCTTTTATTGGGCTGGTCACTGAGTAAGTGTTTTGTTTTCCTTCGAACTGTGATTGGTAGGTTTTACACTTTGGAATGTGTTTTCTAGTTTCTTTTGAAATTTTTTTTTTTTATTTTTGGCACACATTCTCACTTGTAGACTAGGATGTCTTTGAACTCACAGATACCCACTTGCCTCTGCCTCTTGATTTCTGAGATTAAATAAATGTGCTACCATGCCCAGCCCCCCCCCCCTTTATTTAATTATGGAGAAATTGGTTTTGGACACAGCTCCTGACCTCCGGAGGCCTGAGCTCCAGTTGCAGAGTCAGAGATAAGTGAAATATTGTGTTAGAGGCAGAGCAGCAGAGGGTGGAGCTGGGTTGATAGGAGAGGAGGGGCCTTAGGCGGAGAAGGTTGCCCCTCAAGACCTTTGGTGACCGGGGATTTGAACGTAGGAGAGTGAGTGGACAGGAGCTGACTTAGAAGGCTAAGCAGGACTCAGGGTTCTGTGTACAAGGCAGGCTCAATGGACATGCACAAGCCAGATGAAGAGCACCACACCTGTGGCTGCAGAGGGTCCTTCCCAGCCTGCAGGGTCACCCTTCCGTCCAAGAGCAAAGGACTTGCTTCCCGTTAACACTGTGGTTATGGCTGAGGGCCTGTCGCAGTGCCTTCCAGACTGACAGTGCATTAACTGTCTGTGCATCCCTTCTTCCAGGCATCTGTCCCTGGGCCCACCACACTTCCTTCCGTGACATGACTTAACAGATGATTATTTCCTTATTTATAGCTCTGCAGGTCAGAGACTAAAGTTCACCTCACCACACCGAAGTCACAGTCCCCAGCACGGTCCTTCTGGAGACCCCAGGGAAGATTGTCCTCACCCTTGCTAGCTGCCAGAGTCATTCACACGCCTTGACTGTGACCCTGTGGAGACTGTGGTCATGTCACCCACCCTGCCTCTGACCTTCCTGTCCCCATGTCAGGACACATGGGAATGTCCAGGCATGCCTCAGGACTGTACCTGGAGTGGGGGCTGGCTTTTTGTCAGAGGGATCTTACTCATCTATCAGAAGTGTCCCGTGTATGCTCCATTTTGGCCTCTTCCCTCAGCAGTTCTGCGAATGCCCTACCTCACAGATGGTCAGTTATCTCTCTGTGGCTCTCCAGGCCTATGGGCCCAGGAGACTCCTGATGTCTCAAGTTGTCTTTGGTCTGGGACATTCAGGTGCCATCTTCTGCTCTGTTTGAATATTTTTGTTTTCCATACACACTTTTCCTATGTGAGGACAACCCCCCCAACCCCCCCCCCCACACACACACACACGGCAGTGACCACCGGTTTATGTCCTTTGATGGCTTTGTGCTTTATTCATAAACGATCTGGTGTTTGACCACATGAGGCCTCTGTGAGTTTGGTGGGTGTGAGTCAGGTCTCACCCT